GTAGAAAAGTTGACCTGCACAAGAGGGATAAAATAAGCAGTCATCAAACTTCGAGCACCAGTGTGGTACTTACTGAAGGCTCTCCGACGCTTAAGTCAGCAAGTATGGGAGACATAGTAATTTTGGCACTATTCCCCTTTTATAGAGGAATGGAAGTGAGTATTTGCACAAAGTTTCGATGTGGGACTTTGTGCAAATCACTATGGGGGTGACGTGTGTCCAAGACTTAGGTTCTATAAACTGAACCTTCGGCAACCGCCTTCAACAGGCTATTACTACATTGGAGGAAGACGTATCTTCGAAAGCTGAGATCATGATCGGCACGGAGCCTATCAATTGGTAGGGTGAGTGTGTGTGTTGCACAAGGAGCTCTCCCTACACAATTAGCACGGTGCTTGTCGATCGACATGGGGTGATTTCGCGCATATTTCGCGAGAGTCTCCTGCACGATCGACAAGGTGCTTGCCGATCGACACAGGGTGATTTCGCATCTGTCGTGTGAGAGTCTTCGGCATGATTGGCACAGTGATTGCCGATCGGTAGAGGGTGATTTCATGTGTGTCAAGTGACAGGACCCGCCCCGAATTCCTCGAAATCCATGACGAACCCTGTGATTTTTCCGACATCAAACCGATACCCGGCCCACTTACTAACAACATCCTCTTCTTCGAAAACAAAGGAAAAGAGGGTCGAGACTTTGTAACACGTTACCTTGTAAATAGGGGTAGTTTTGGAATCCGAAAAATAGAATAAATCAGATTTTAAGCTAGATTAGGTAACTTGCTTACTTGGATCTTAGTCATCAGGTTTTATTTGAAAAAATTGGGTATTTTAAATAGAAAAATAAAGGAAAGGGTTGTAGGTGATTAAAAATGAATTTTATGGGTCTAAGCTCAATTTACTATATATTGTATTTTATTTAGTCGACACGTGTCCAAGGCTTAGGTTCTATAAGCTGAAGCTTTGGCAACCGCCATCGGAGGGAAGACATATCTTTGGTAGCTGAGATCATGATGATGTCATCAGTATTTAGAGTTTTTCTAGGAGTATTTTCCCTTCAGCAGGCTGTGGGTCTGTCTGCGCGCTAGTCCCCTAGAGTCGAATGTGCTGGATTGATTATGTTACAAACAATTGAGTTGCTACGTGAATTAGTATCTGATGCCTGTCGTAGTATATAACTTTCCCAATGTGAATCAAATCTTTTATCAATTCTGACTTGTTGGGACTTTTGGTGTAATTGAAGTACTCCCTTTCCTTTTCTTTTTTTTTGGATAGAGCCCTTTTATTAGGAAAAAAAGAGAAAGAAAAAGAGAAAGAAAGAAATTGCCATCAGAACAGGGACATGCCAACCCCATGCAAATTAGCTATTACGTACGGTCAGCATAATACGTTAGGCTAGTACACACAATTGCAAGATTCATTATAAATAATGAGTTGCATGCGCATACATTCTTAAGAATTTTCGCACCCAAACGATACCAAGTAAATGATCAATGTTAGTTACCTCGTGGTAAAACAATTGTACATGTATCATGTAGTGTAGGTACACAACGTACTCTTTGGCTGGCCCCCCTTGGTAATAATGCTAGCTACGTATATATGTACGTACTGGACGTATATACCAAGAAGAACAAAACGCTTTGTCACGAAAACGACGTAAGCAGTCAGCAGGCCAGTGCATGAGCATGGGAAGCACGGCACTTGTCTTTGTCATGCATGAGTTAGCTTAATTACATTACATTCAAGCCCGATCTTTCTTATTCCAAAATGTTCATAGAGAGGCTAATGGTGTAGCGCATAGACTAGACAAAGTTTGGTTTATATAAAGAGGTTTCGTTGGTTTGGGGACATGTGTTTCCTGATTTTATTTAGAACGTTCTTTTGGTAAATTCTATGTGTCGGGGGGGTTAGGCTTCATATCCCCCCATTGCAATTCTTGATTCAATAAATTTCCTCCCTTGGTCTAGTTAGGCAGATCGCGGATTGACCACGTGATCTGCCTAAATAGTGTCGATCTCACCACAAAACCCTTTTGTTTTTTGGGGTCCATGGCACTAAACCTATTGTAGGAAAGTGGGAATGCTAGGGGATCTATGATCTGCTCTTGGCCTCATAGATTCAAAAAGTACTGAGAGTTGGTCAGGTAAAAATGGCAGGTGTATAAATAAATCATCAGCATTTCTGTGGGGCTTGTTGCATGTGGCAATGGGTTTCCCATATAATCTTGCTAGCTCCTGTTCACTACACACGTTTCATGGACAATGACTTTGCCAAAGTGTGTAAGTGTAAAAGTTAGTGATCCTTGCGATGGCAGGTGAGATGGATCATACTGCACATGGCATAATTGGGGAGAGTTCTGTTCATATCAAGGACGGACTCTGGATTTCAAAAGAGGGTAGATTCAATTTACCTTATGTACAAAATTTAATTGCAAATTCCTAATTGATATTTCTTAACACTGAATTGAAAATCCCTAATTTATACTTCTTGAATCTTAAAAGATCTCCAAATTTCAATAACAATAAATTAAGAAAAGAAAATTGTAAGATTCCACCAATAAAATATAATCCACCAAGAAAATTGAACACGTTGAAGGGCTGATGCGTAAAGTAGGAAAGGCTGTAGGGTGGGCTATATGTGACTTTGGGCGGGAAAATAATAAAAGCCACCTAGGCTAGCCTGTGATTGGGTCCGTCCTTGGTTCACACTTTCCATATACTCACCCAATTATATTTCTTTCTAATCAGTGACAACTCCCAGTAACTTTTCATATATACATCAAATTATTTACTATTGTTATAGAAACAAAATAAGCAAGAGAGAAATGTTTGAGGGAATTTAGAGAGTGTTTTTCCCTTTTTTTAATTATTTATTTTTATTAAACTCTTATTTTATAGGTGACCAAGTGACTAAATAGGTCATCAAGTCTTCGTCCAAAAAAAAAAGGTCATTAAGTCTCTAGTTATATATATCAAATAGAACCCTAAGCATACTACTAAGATGATTTATCTTAAATAAATACATGAAAATATTAGATGTTCACGCATCAATGATAAGCAGTGTCGGCCCTGGACAAGGACAATCAGTGCGACTGCCCTAGACTCACTGTCTAGGAGGCCCAAATTTTTTTTTAATTTTTTTTTTTATAAAGAGGTATATTATATTTATTATATATTGTTTTAATATTTTTAAAAAAAGTAACATGGGGTGTTTCAACTCTTTTAAGCTCTAATTGATTGCAAATTTGGAAGTTTTAAGTTTGTTGTTATGGAGGGGGTCAAATTCCAAGTTACGTTGTTCTTTGTTTATTATTTGAAGTATTAAAATTTCATTGGATTTCTGATTTCAAATATCAATGATTCTTGAAGAAACAACAATATGGAAGTCAAAAAAGAAAAAGAAATGATTGAATTGTTACAAGTATATATCTTGTTTATGCATTAGATTTGAATGTATCAAGCGTAGCTTCTTATTTTAGATTTTTATATATTGAAGTTTGAATTTATATAAATGATTTGTCTTGAATGGTAAATTTTTAGTTAATTTGAATAAGTTAAATCTTGATTGAAAAATGAGAATGAGTCTAGCACTTAAGTGAAAAAATATATTATATATATATAAGGGTATAATTTTTTACATTTGCCCTAGGCCCTGATGATAATTTGCATGATTAAAACATTTGCTAGGGAAACTCAGTGAGAGAAAGCCATAGTGAAGGGAAAATAGTACATCTTTGGACTGAATCATTGACATCATATTGGACGCGCTTATTGTTGCCTCGTTCACAGGAAAACCATATGAGACAAAACCCTGGTCATACAGTGCACATATATGTTCGATACATACTTTGGGTTGATTGATATCTCTCTCTCCCTAAAACTCATGTGTATATAGAAGAAATCTAAAAATTATAGATTATCTTGCAATAAGGTTTGTTTGGCTTCGCACGTTTGACTTTCTAAAGCTCAAGTGTATATAGAAGAAATTTGCTACCCTTGATGAAACCTTCTTTGATTTGGGATGTACAATCATCATTTTATACATGATTGTTGGAGTATTGGTTGTTGAAAACTGATCATAAGTGCTTCAGATAAGATCTTAACCAAACAAATTTTCTACTCGCTTCATGGAGCGCAAGAGCTTCCAAATGATTAGAGGATAGCAACCAAAGTTTGTTTTGTAGATCGTCATGCGATCAATGTATTGCCAGAAGCACATACATACCCAGTTTGAGAGCAATCCTTGTATAGACTGGAGAGATATCTAGATAAAATTTGTAAAATTACAATTGGTTAGATTTCAAATCAAACCTTTTTACCCTCCTTTAGGTCATTTTAATGATATGGATATACAACTTTAGAATTAATAAGTGAAAGTTCGAACTAGTTTGTTATGCATGAAGGATGACATAACAACTCAAATCTAGTTTGTTATGCATGATTTAATTCATTTTATATGTTATTGAGTGTAAACAATGGTGGTTGGGTGTGCTTTAAAATGCCAAGGCATAAAGTGAAGCGTTTTATACACCGTTGTGTATCTTGATCGCCTTGACTGCGCCTCGCTACGCCTTTTCGGTGAAATGCTCCGTGTGGCATGTGGAAGCCGCCTCACAGAAAGGCGTACATTTTTCGGTGAAATTCTCTGGTGGCATGTGGAGGCCCCCTCCCAGAAGACTCGCCTCATGCGCACCGTACACTGGTTGGAGCGCTTGAGAGGGCAGATATGCTAGTTTGGTTGGTTTATTCAACAATATACAAATTTTAAAACTATCTGTGAATTGCCGTCTCCAATTCAGTTTTCATTTTACAAATCTACAAATCTACAAATCTACAACCAATTGACAAGCTAAAGCTGAAGTTACAAAACACTATAACAACAAAATCACCATCCTGCAACCAACTAGTTCTTAATCTAGTCGTATTTCTTCTTTGAATCTACTTTAAAACAAGTTTCAAGTTGAAATCCATCCCATATTGTTTAAAGAAAAACCCCCCATCTTTGCATAACACTTCATGCCCATTCATCAACCTCTGACAGACTGGCACACAATCTCAAAGAACACAATCACAATTAGGGTGTAATTACTTTGTTGTATATTACTTGGAAAATAATTTATATTACCTACACTTCAGATAGAAAACAAACCACAACAAGTTCTCATTCAAATATCATGTCGTCACTCAATTCCTTACGTGTTGGGAGATTTAGCATGATCACAGCTTTTGCATGAACCTTAGCTTAATCACTTGTTAACTCCACTTGTACATGAATCTCCTTGGGACAACTTTTGTTGTTTTGGACCGAATATTGGTTTGGTACACAATATGAGGAGTATGAACACCTGTAACAATAAAACTATTTGTATCATTTCAACTCAATCGCTATCTAATGTGCCATTTGTCTAAGAAGAGAACGATCTCAATTAAAGAAATGATACATTAGATGGTCAGCAGAAATAGTACAAAATAGCAACATTCAGTCCGTAGGTTAGCATATTTAACACATCACTACAATATAACAAACTTTCCTTAACAAATTCATAAGCACCAAAGACGTGAACAAAACAATGCTTCTAAACTACCTTGAGTAGTAGTAGTATAAACAAGGCCGGAACTAAAATACCTAGAAAATGCAAACTTGAAATCCAGATTGCACTTGAGAAGAATATCTACAAGCAAACATCTTAGGCATAAGATAGTCCCAGTCTTCACCAGCATTCCAAAGGGAGACATGGAGACATCTATGGTGTTGACGCGTGCTAGCTTAACATTTTTTATGGTTTGGATTTTCTGTATATCATCTACAGCATGTTCCGAAACGTACAAGCCTCTAAGGACAGACCCGAAAGCTATGAAGGAGAGGTACGAAAGGTGGCTGCAAAAATATGGCCGGATATATAAAAATAGAGAGGAAGCGAAATACCGTTTTGGGGTTTACAAATCCAACATTGAGTTTGTTGATTTCGTAAATTCTCAAAATCTATCATACAAACTCACTGACAACAAATTTGCAGATATCACAAACTTAGAGTTTACAAACACCTTCATGGGTTTCCAAACTAGGAGTTATCCGAAAATGAGGTTCAGTTATGACAAGGATGAGGATCTTCCGACTGCAGTAGATTGGAGAAAGAATGGTGCGGTAACTCCAATCAAGAATCAAGGCCAATGTGGTATAAATTGAAACAGGCATTCAAAAAATGGATGCTCATTATTTTTCTCTCCTTTATTGCGCTCCTGAACTAGATGTTTGCTATGTTTTTTTTTATTCAGTTTTGACTTATAATAATTTTCCACTAGAAGATGGATTAGTTATTATATGCTACATGTGGACATATGATGTCTTGATTTTAGACACATCCCTGAGCTCTCTTCACACAACCAAAAAGACAGGGTAAATATGTACTTTTCTAGATTTAGGTTCAAACTTATTTAGAATTACTCAACCATGAAAATGTATATTCTATCACATTCCAAGTAAACACCAAGACGCCCAAGCCTTAAATTCAATTTTGGCTTTATGATATACACACAATTATTAAAAGTTGGGTTTGTAGGTAGTACTTACATGTCCTTATTGTTCTGCTTGCTGAAAAGGAAATATTGCAGATTAAGTAGCAACTTCTGATACTATTACACTTTCAATACACAGGAAGTTGTTGGGCATTCTCTGCGGTAGCAGCTGTGGAAGGCATTAACCAAATCAAAACTGGAAAATTGGTGTCACTATCAGAACAAGAGCTTGTGGACTGCGATGTGAAAACCGGGAATGAAGGCTGCAATGGTGGATACATGGAAAAAGCGTTTAGTTTCATAAAAGATAACGGACTCTCCACCGAAAAGGATTATCCTTACAAAGGGTCAGATGGCATATGTGATGAAGATAGTTTGAAAAACCGTGCTGTGAACATAAGTGGCTATGAAAGCATACCTGCCAATAGTGAGAAAAGTCTCCAAGCTGCAGTTGCACACCAACCTGTCTCTGTTGCAGTTGACGCTGCTGGTTATGCTTTTCAACTCTATTCTTCAGGTATCTTCACTGGCCAATGTGGTAAGAATCTCAACCACGGAGTCACAGCGGTCGGCTATGGGGAAGATAGTGGTAAGAAGTACTGGATTGTAAAGAATTCTTGGGGTCCTGACTGGGGTGAATCTGGTTATATAAGAATGACACGTGATTCGGTTGATAAGAAAGGTACCTGTGGCATTGCCATGCAGGCTAGCTACCCTGTTAAGGGTTAAGCAGTGTTGATGGGAAATTAACCTTTTCGGGAAGTACCATAGAAAGGTAGCTAAACAAGTTCCTTTTGTGTAGTAATTTCATGTAAAATCAAGGTTAAATATGCAAGTGTGGAATTCCAATAAATAACAAGTAAGGTTTATACAAAGAAAAGAGGGAAACTAAAAAAAAGGAACAACAAAGGCCACCCAAAACATAGGTCATTTCAAAAGGAGAAGAGAACTATTATTGAAGATGTTAGCAAAATCTTTGTATTAGAAACTTCGTTTCAATGGAAAAAGAGGAGCATTTCTTATTCTGTCAATCCCACCTTTATTCTGTCAACTAAAAAAAAACTTATTTAAATTTTGTTGATAATTGTTTACATTTATAGTGCTAATTTAAAATTCTGTTACATTTGGGTCCAGAAAAGTTTAAACATGCAAATTTGTTCAGTTGTAAGAAGAAGTAATTTTTCATCTCGAACACAATTTTGGCCCTTGTATGGAGAATTAACCACCATGAATTTACCATCAAATTAAAACAGACTTTTAAGAAGCTGAATAGCAGAACAAAGCAACATTGAACAAGCCAGCTCTTCTGTGCGACATAGGCAATGGTCTAAGTACCAGCTGCCTTCTATGCAAAGAACTTGAATCCATGGACCCAAAGAATAAATACAAGGAGCTAAGACCTCAACTCTCCAAATCTTTGCCTCACGGAACAAGCCAGCTTCCATTCACCAGCACCAGCCAACCTCTCAACAACCTTCTGCCTGGTCCTAATATAAGGTATAAAACCTCTCTCCGTCATCCCCATCACCACTTTCCCAGCCAGAATATACTCACCACAATCCAAGCACCCATTAACCACCAACTCATAGCTCTCAAAGCCGACAGGGTAGCCATCCCTCTCTAAGAACTCAATCATATCAACTGCTCTCCATATATCTCCGTTTGCTCGCAATGCTGCTGCCACTTTTGCAATCGTCCCCTGCCTTGGTGTCAACCCAACTTTCTCTACCATTTGCTTAATCATATCTACTGCCTCAGCTGTTCTTCTGACAGTGCACATTGCACCAATTACCGTGTCAAAACTCTCCAAATCCGGAACACATCCTGCCCTACTCATTTCCTTTAAGACTTTCACTGCCTCATTCAACTGATCAACAGAACACAAAGACGATATAAGGTAGTTGCATGTACCACAGTCCGGATGATATCCAATTGACTGCATTTCTAATAGGATCTTAGAGACAGAGTGAGATTCATTCCGGCAGTTCAGCCAAGCAGAAGAGAGGAGAAGAAGGGTTTGGGGGACAGGAGTGCAACCAGAGCGAAGAGTTCGTTGGAGGATGGCAAGAGCAAGAGGGAAGGGATTGGAGCATTGCAGTGTAAAGGACAGGAGGTAGGAATAGGTAATCTGAGGCCGAGAGCGAGGTCTTAGAGGGATGAAAGACTGCAAAATTTCATCAACCACTTGCGTTCTAAGGTTGTGGGGAAAGGTTGAAAGGAATGAGAAAGGATTCGGGTTTTGGCAAGCTTGAGCAGAGGAAATGAGAAGATCGGGAATTTTCTGGTAGGTTTTGGCTTCAACTGCATTTTTTATAGTTTCTTGGAGCATCTGTGATGAAGAGATTGAGTTGATGGAACAATATTGGAGGAGATGACAATGTAGAGGAAGAAAGGATCTGCAAAACTTTGCTGCTCTGATAGCCATGTTGTACTTCTAGAGTGTAAGACATCAACATTTGCAAGACATTGGAAGCATCTGGATTACAACAGGAAACCTGAAGAATTTGATCATCGCAACAATGTTAACATAAGGTAGCTGGAGAATCGATGACATGGTCAGCTTTTCACGTACTGAAGATGAAACCTAAATATATAAGTGTTAACATCTGGATTACAAAATGAAACCTAAAGCTGGGAACCAAATAACTTGGATAACTTTCCACAGATTTGAAGATTACCAAATATATTGAAAAGAGAGCATTGGTACATAAAATTAATGAACGAATTTGAAGATTTTGGGTCCAATTTAAGATATAAAAGTTACTTGTAAATCAACATCTTACTCTGTTAAGTACATGAATCTCAGAAAGCTTTGCTCACTAGTAATCAAAATAATATTGGCATAGGCAATTCCCCTAATCTACAAGCACGTTTTACCTCTTATTTCAATCATGGGCCATGGCTAACTACAATATAAGCTAAAACCACTGTAAATGCCATTGCTACTTTCAAAATGACCTACACACTCGTATTAACTTATTTCAAGATAATATATATGGCATTAACATAACCTGCCCTTCACACTCCTTGTCCTTTCAAATACCTCCATCCAAACGGAGCCTAAGAGAATTGATTACACAAAGATTAACAAAAAGAAGAGAACACAAAAAAAAGAAGCCCATTTCTCTCATAGGAATATTGTCAAACAGGAAACGTGCATTCAATGAATAATAACATTCAGTGACAAAGAGCAGAGCATACCAGCATCACCAAGCCTGGAAATGGGTTACAAAGAACTTGCTGGTATTCTTACTTCATGATTTCTAATGCTGCTAGAGTGCGCACAATGTTCATTTCTGATTAAGATCTTCATGCTTTTACCAGTGCTGGCAAAGATTTCGGTATGGAGACAGGTTGAAGTTTAACCCCAAATCGGGTAGAATTAGGGCTGGGCCATTCTAAATGGGTTTGAAAACCGAGGATAGTGGACTTTGGGTGCTGTCCAACAACTTTGTTTCCTGTTTTGTTTTTTGTTTTTGTTTTTTTTTATAAATTTAATTATTTTATTATATATATATATTTACAAACTACAATATGGTTAGAAAACTATGTCACCATAATGAGTGGCCCGTCTGGTAACGTTTTCGGAGAATGTTTTCTTAGAATATTTTCAGAGAATGAAAACAAGAAAACGAATTTGCATTTTCAGGAAATGAAAATGCGTCTGGTAGATTAATTAGAAAACATCTTCAGAAAACAAAAACAATGAAAACGTGTCTAGTAGTATAATTTGAAATAATAATATATGAGTTATTTTTATGAAAACGTTTCCCACTAGAATGAAAACAACTTTTTTATGTTTTCTACAAGTACACATGAACTTATTTTCATTTTATGAAAACATTCTCAGTGTTTTCTGTTTTTGGGCCACCGAACGTGTTTTTGCCTCATTTTTGTTCTCTGAAAATGAAAACAATCTCTTAAAACTTTACCGAACGGGCCCTCCAACTCACCAAAAATATATATTGTTCTCAAATTTATAGGAGTTGAATCGAGAATTCATAACTAAGTGGAAACAATTACTACTAGATCAAAAGTTAATTGGTTCATTTTAAGACAGAGAATGAAACGACACTTTTTTTTCTTCTTTTCTTTTTATTGATCAATGAGGGTTGGGAGTTTTAAACTTAGAACCTTTTCCAACATTGGGAAGAGAAGTACGTACCACTAGACCAAGAGCTAGTTGGTAAAACAACGCTTTCTTTTATATATGATTCAAACAAAGTGAGGGATGAGTGGCTGCAGATTTTATTCAGAAAGTTATTAGTATATATGTAATTTGCTCAAATAAATCCTAAGCTTATCATATATGTTGACCACATGATGTTTTTCAAAACCAATTTCTCTATTAAATCCCCTCAATACGCAGTTAACATTTGCTCTGTATTCGTAGATCCACTTTTGATCCTTCCTCACTGCAAAAACTTTGACATACACTTAGAAAAGTTGATGCTAATTTTCTCTACAGCCAAGCTTCCTGAAAGGTGGGAAACTACGAATTCTTCTTCATTCTTAATAACACCAGGACTCATTCCTTCTTTAAGACAAAAACGAAAACGAGGGACTTGTTGCAAGTTATGTATAGGTCATTACAAAACTTTCCATATCTTTATCCACAGAGCATTATGCGTAAATCATTCGTTGCCTAAATAGAACATCTTTCAAGGTTCAAGGCAAACAAGAAGAGTTGCCCTTAAGAATAGATTTTGAATTAGCAATATTTCTATTTACAGGCTCAGATACAACTTCGAGCATACTTTTATTTATGCCAAGTGGATCATCGATGACAGGAACCCCTACGACATCTTGTATAGTGTGTGTTGAGCTTCAGCATTTGCCGGACGAAAAAATACAAGCACAGTTGTAAACTCTTGCTATGGAACTTTTGGATCAGTGTGAAGCTTCCCAAAACTTTGTAGATTTGAGGCTCTTTTAAGGAACAAAAAACCCTCCTAGGCAAGTCAACTTCATGTATTGAAATCCTTAGACATACTTGGGAGGAACCCATGAGAAAATCAGCCATCATGCTGGTATAAAACCTGAGAAAATATTACAAAATCCCATTTTTGTAAGGTATTGATGAAAGAATAACTGGAGAAGTCGTGGATAGTATTACCAAAAGCAGAATAACAAATGTTGAATTACTTTTAGTGGTAACGCCTTCTTTTAGATCTGGCACGACGACGGAGTATCCGGAAAACTATGACAATAATAGTAATAACTACTTGTATGATTAGTAATATCTTCAAACCTGGAAACACAGAAGTGTCAACTAATGTTTACATATAATTTCAGCTATACAAAAACATAGTCGGAAACAAGAGAATACCTTTAAGCTTCTGAATCAAGTCATCCAAACTAACTCCACTTTTGGCTTGTTTTGCACCGACATGCCCTAGATCCCCAACTAGACCCCCAACTCTTGAGAAGTGATGGTCAGTTTTGTACTCAATATTCCCGCCCATTATGCATGTGTTTGGACAATTGATACTACCATCATACTCGTCGCTTCCATCACAGCAATCTA